TGCTTATCTGATAAAGTCTATCAAAAACATAAAATGAATGACCAAATCATACTTATGGTAGAATGTGTTTTAAAGGCTAAATGAAGAGTCTATACCGGTCCAACAGTTCAGGGAAGATTTTATCTTGATGTCTTATTACTTCATCAATCATGGGATCTTACATTAGTTGAAGAAACTACACGTTGGTACTATCTTTTCCGTGAGATTTTATATGCATGAATTTATCATTCCAGCTTGAATGCTATCGATGGCCAATAACTTGCACATAAATATGCCAACAGCTAAACATGTTTTAGATGCAACCTCCGTGCGTTGTGTGCACTTCCTGTTTATCTGAGTGATGAGCTAGTAAAAGCTGATTTTGTTTATAGCTGAACAAATGTTTATCTTGGCTTTTTGTTAAATGATTTATCCAGTTTACTTTGTGATGCCAATGCACGTGCTACTCTATCATGTAAAAGCTAACTCTTAATTATGGCTGTTAACCAATTGACTTTGGCCAGCGTTGTCAGCCGTGATTCTCAACAACAGTCATACCTCACTCTAAGAGGCTTCAGAGAGTGGCATGAGCAAAGCCCATAGATGTAATGGGGTGCTCAGAACTGCAACTGAGTAAGTTTCAATTTGTTCAAGAAGCTGAATGTGCTAAATGATAAATATGCTTAGTAAGTATTTCTAGTTAAATGGGAGTTGCCTTGGATGAAATACCGCATCTCAGAGGAGCCACAAAGCCTTTTGCTTGAAATTATGTCCTTAGCCAGAGCTGAACTTGTAAAATCAACTCGATAGACAGTTGGTATATTGTTAAGCAGCTCAGTCACTTTTTAACTATTATGCTAGGAAAAGCACTTAAACTCTCTTGCCCTCAGTTTTTTCATCTGTAAAATGAGGACAATTATAGTTATCTGCCTTAGAGGGTGGCAGTGAGAAATAGATGAATTAATATATATGAAGTACTTTCAACATTGCCTGGCACAAAATAAATGCTGTATAAATGTTTGCTAGTATTATTTTAGGGGTGATGTAGCCACTTATATAATGTATCTAATTCTATAACTGTATCAGAGAATATTCCTAACAAAAAACTATTAAAGTCATTTAATCCTTTCAAGTGATAATAAAAATTAACGCTTCAACCCATTCAGTGTGAATTTAAAATAAAACTGTTCAATTGTATGTGCTTTTTGGAATAGACCAGAAGTTGCTTTTTAAAAATAAATCCCAGATGGCATTTATCTTTTTCTCATAAAATAAAGGCTGGGGGGTGGGGGAGACAGTCATTTTAATCTTTATAATAAACAAAAACTGCAAAAGTCAGGATTATGGATAAATGGGGCATTATTTTTATAACAGATACTGGGAATCCTCAATTTTCTATGAATCATCTCGCCCTTTGGCCAGTAATTTCCTAATTCTTCTGGGACAAATTAACTTTTACATGTTCAGGGTTTGAATTTCAATTTGTTTCATATATGAATATTCCATTAATTTTTAGAAATACTGTAAAAGATAGGATATTATTTTCAATATTGTTCTTAATATTACTCAGATGAACATATTTTTCCACATCAGGAGCCAGCAAATGTTTTCTGTCAAGGGCCATATAATAAATATTTTCAGCTTTACAGGCCATACAGGGTCTGTCGCATCTACTCAATTCTGCCATTGTAGTATGATAGCAGCCATAGACAGCTCAGAAATGAATGGGCATGGCCATGTGCCAATAACACTTTATTTAGAAAAAGAGGCAACAAGATGGATTTGGCTCACAGACCATAGTTTGTTGATCCCTGTTCTGTGGAATTCCTATTGTTTGTTTCCTATTTCTCCCAGGCAGGGGCAGATTAACCAGTAAGCAAGGTAAGCACGGGCTTACTTGTGCTTGTTTGCTAATCTGTAGTGAACAGCTCCATGTGTTTTTCACCACATCTTTGATGGAAGCAGACTGCCACGTCTTTCTCCCATGGAGCTGCTGATGGGTTCAAATCCACTGACCTTACGATTAGCTGCCAAGTGCTTAACCACTGCACAACCAGGGCTTCTTAAAACTATTCTTAAAAATTCCTTAAGTAGTCTTTAGTTATTGTGTATAGAACTCTGTATAGTAATGTTATGTATATTCCCAATTTGAGAATCGTTGAGCTAGGCTGAAGGAAAAAATGCTATATGCAAATGTTTGGGCAGTCAAACTTTTCTTTCTAAAATAACTGTCAAATTAAAATAAAAATAAAATAACAGTCAAATTATTAGAGGGAATGCTGGAAAATTCTAATGTGTTTACTCTTGTCTGCAGCATTTACTTTTTTTAAATGTAAGCCTTTCTAACCTTAATATGCATTAATAGATTTGTTTGTTGCTGCCCATTGAATGTGAATCCTCATAGATTAAATGAGCTAGTACATTAAATGAGCTAATACTTAAAAAGCATTTAATGCTGGACCTGGCCCAGTCCACATGGTTTGCTTTTGAATCTGACTCTTGTCTGCTCATATCCACATACACATTGTTCTTTGAAGGGTCATAGAGAAGAACTGAGCTGTCTGCTTCTGGTTCTTCCAAGTCTGGATTTCCTGCTGGGCATCACAATGCAGCTAACAGCTATCACAGTTTGAGAGTGTGTCTCAGGATCCCTTGTTGTTTCTGTTGTTGGTTGCTGTAGAGTTGGGTCCAACTCATTTATGTATAACAAAATGGAATGTTGCTCAGTCCTGTGCCATCTTCCCAATTATTGAAGACCTATGGATCACAACAGGATCCCTTACCTGTAGAGTAACAGCTACCCTGATGATATGATAAGGTCCACCCTAAAAAATAAAAATAAAAAAAATCTTTAAAAACTCATTGCTGTCAAGTTGATTCCAACTCTTGGAGACAGCATGTGTTAGAGTAGAATTGCTCCATAAGGTACCAGGGGGAAATCATACAGGCATTGAGAAATACACATAGATATACATAAAGAACACATCTAAAGTAAGAGCATCAGCTCTGCCCCTTGCTTTAAGAACAGCGCCTTATGTATGTACTCTGAGTACTGTGCACTACTAGTCTTTGCTGAAGAGGATGAATGGTTTATGAAGCAGAAAACAATCCTAATGTCTTCTAGTTTATTTCTAGGTACCACTTCAGTCAAAAGTATTTTTCTGCGTTGTTCTAGGTGGAATTTCTAAGCAGAAATTCCAATTCAGAATGACTTTCAGAATTTTAAATGTCAAAATAAGTTTAGTATTCTGTGGAGGAAATTTAATTAATTTATTAAAAAATTCCTCTCTCTCCTGTGCTGGAGAGAATCAATGCAGACTGGGCTAGAGGCCCAGTCCTTTAAAACTTACTAGATGCAATTAACAATTTACCAGGACTAAATATATTCTCTTGGGAGAGAGTATGGTTGCCTGCTATTTATTAGCTGAAAACAATTTAAAAATTTGTTTTTCCTTACATATAATACTTTTGAAGCTTCAGAAGAGTGAAGATAAAAAGTGAGAAAAAGCATACAAATTAGCATTTTCAATGCTGTATTCCCTACACCTGAAACAGTGCCTGTTGTTGTCTTCGTGTGCCATTGAATCAATTCCGACTCATAACCGACCCTATAGGACAGAGTAGAACTGCCTCATAGGGTTTCCAAGGAGCGCCTGGTGGATTCGAATTGCTGATCTTTTGGTTAACAGCCTTAGCTCTTAACCACTATGTCACTAGCGTTTCCAAAATAGTGCCTAGCAGGTTGTATATGTTCAGTCAGTATTGTTAGTGAATGTTAACCCATTGCTGATTCCAACTCATAACGACCGTATAGAACAGAGTAGAACTGCTCTGTAGAGTTTTTAAGGTCGTAAATCTTTTACGGAAGCAGACTATCACAGTATTCTCAAGCAGAGCATATGGTGGATGCAAACTACTGACCCCTCAGTTAGCAGCTGAGCGCTTAACCACTGTGCCTAAATTAAACACATAGCTTTTCTCTTAAGGTGACATGTTTCTTGATTTATATCACTGGCTTAGAAATATAAGACCAACTTATCCTAGGCAAATACACAGAATTGTTCAGCAAGACATAATTTATAATATTGAAAAATTGGATTCAATCAACCAGAGATTAGATAAATAATGTATTATACATTTAAACAGCAGAATACATACAGATGTTTAAAATGGTGATGTAGCTCTTTATTTATAGGCATAAAAATATTTGGAAGCATATATATGCCTATATAAATAGTAATCATTTCTTGGTAATATGATTAGAGGTGATATTAACCTATTTTATAGTATTTTGTGTCACTGGAATCTTTTACAGGGAGTATATATGATTTTATGATCAGAAAAAAAATTTGGAAATAATCATGAGCTGTAAATTTTCAAGGAGGGGGAAGGATGCAGTTGGCAAACAAATGTAAAAGGCACGTGTTATTTACATAAAAATACAGTAACTAAGCTCATAATGCTTCTAAACATTTACATGAAAACATAAAGTGCAACAAAATACACATCATCCTCTTAGGCTTGTGTATTTCAATAAAGAATGACATATAATGCCCAAATGACCAGTCACTTCTTTATGTACTTTTTTTTTTCTTTTTAAGTCTACTTAGTCAAAGTTTATTTAATTTTGGTTGGAGTTTGCATAGGCAATGTGAAGAGAGTTTACGATCATATTTTTAAGTGGAAGGCCAATTAATATTTGAAAAATAATACATGTTTTAGCAAGAGTAGTTGATGCTGGTTTTGACTTTGACTACAGAGGAACATCAGGGTTTGAATTTTCTGAGCAGAAAATAGGGTTGGTAAAGTTTTGGAAGTACAGGAGTCAAAAAAGAACAAGAGTGAGAATCTTAGGGCATTTCAGTGGCAAATATATGACTGTAAAGAACCATCAGGAAATCCTTCTCATAGTTACCCAAATACAAAGAGAAAGCTACAAGTAGAATTTTATGTTGAGCTATGTAATGTAGCTAATGTATATGGATTAGATATTAAGTTATTAATTATTAATTTTTTTACAGAAAGAAACCAGAACATATTATCAACCCTTTGAAAACACAGCTTAACAAACTTTACCATTTTACCACTTTCTTGAAAAGGTAAGACCCTTTCTACTATTAAAAAGTTACCCAGAAAAGATTAGTCCAAAGGACTAATCGATCACAACTACCAGAGCCTCCACCACACTGAGTCCAGTATAACTAGATGGTGCCCGGCTACCACCACTGACTGCTCTGCCAGGGATCACAATAGAGGGTCCTGGACAGAGCTGGAGAAAAATGTAGAACAAAATTCTAACTCACAAAAAAAAAAAAAAAACAGATTTACTAGTCTGGCAGAGACTGGAGAAACCCTGAGAGCATGGCCCCCGGACACCCTTTTAGCTCAGTAATGAAGTCTCTCCTGAGGTTCACCTTTCAGCCAAAGATTAGACAGGCCCATAAAACAAAATGAGAGTAAAGTTGCACACCAGCCCAGGGGCAAGGACAAGAAGGCAGGAGGAGGCAGGAAAGCCGGTAGTAGGGAACCCAGAGTCTAGAAGGGGAGAGTGTTGACATATCGTGGGACTGGTAACCAAAGTCACAAAAGAATATGTCTGCTAATTGTTTAATGAGAAGGTAGTTTGTTCTGTAAACCTTCATCTAAAGTACACTAAATAAATAAAGCACAATTAAAAAAAAAAAACAGAGCTACCCAGAAATGTGAAAAACTACTCTTTGCTAACCATATTTTTGTTGTTGTTGTTTTGGGTCTTTAAATAAATTTCAATTCAGTTTAATAAAGAAGAAATACACTTATGAATTCTATGGCTGATAAGTTTAGAATTACTAAAATAGCACTTCATAGTGTTTGGACTGATTTCATACTAAAAGAATGTCAAGATCTCGCTCTGAAATGAGGACTGAGCTAAGCCTGTCTCTGCTGCTGTTGTCCCTGATACCAATAACGCTTCTTCAGCACTTATACGTACCAGATTTGGTGCTATACAACTTATTTTACATAACTAAATCATTTATTACTTACAAAAACCCCATGGGGTAGATACGGGTATCATCCTCATTTTATAGATCGAGGGCAAGGAGGAAGCAGGTAGGTGAAAGAGTTCACTCAGAATTGTCTCTGCGGGTTCTAGGAGTAGCAGGGACTAAAGAATACCAGCCCCAGGTGTTATTGCGAGAGTACCTTCAAGTTCTGATAGAAGTATCTAGCAATCAGATTCTCCTACATTTTGAGTAGTTATCTATAAGCATATTAATCTAGCTAAAATCTATCTGAATTATGGATAAAAAAAAAATAAGGCATTCACAGAAAGAGCCCTAGCAAGCAAATTTATTTTATGTTTGCACTTCTTACTTATAAGATGGTTGCTTGAGTCAATAAAGGAATTTATATGCTTGAGCTCAGTTTATAAGCCAAGGCAATCTTTTCCTTTATTTTATATCTTACTTTAAATTCAAAAATTCCAATGATAATAGCAGGAAAATTTTACGAACAGCTTCCAAGGGAATGACTTCTTATTCTAGTAAATGAGAATGCATTTGATTTTATTTCTTTTTATTGGAAATACTGAATATATAACCTTAAAATTGGCAGCAGCAATATTCACTTTACAATGTTTTTATTTATTTAATTTTTAATCAAGAAAATTTACAAAACTTTAAAAGGTTAATGGAGAAAATATTATATCTAAGTACCTGCCACACAGATTAGACATATGCTAATAGTCAGCTATATTCAAATAGTAAAAAAAAAACCATCACAGAAAGAGCAAGGCTCACCTTCCTCCTTTTCTACTTTCCTACTTTTCTTCCTAAGAGGTGTCAAATCCTGAAGTTGATAAAAACCTTCCTATGCATGTTCTAATACTTTTATGGCATGTGTTTAAAATAGTATGTCATATAATTAATTACATTTTAAAAGCTTCCATAAATGGTATCATATTGTAGATATTCTTTTGCAGCCAGCCTTCACCTGACATTATATTCAGATAATTATCCATATTGGTACATGAAGACCAAGTTGACTCATTTTAACTGTGTCAGTCTTTTGGTGCTTAGTATTGTGAATTATTATTATTTCTAAATAACTTTCAGCATTTTAAAAATGTAATGCTAAAATGGGTTAAACATGACTCACAAAGCATCTCTGGGATTTGAGTATAAAGAATCCAAAGTTCTTAATAAATAATCACATGCCTATCCTGTTTATGTTTTATTTTTTCCTATTAGAGAAGCATTTTTATTGACTATAAGGATCTTACTAATCTAACTGGATTCATAATTTTCACTGTTTTTGCCATAACATGATAATTGATACCTGTTTTATTTCCCCATAGATGGAAAATTGGCTATTTCCAAATATAGCATAAATACGACCTTTGACATTTAAAATATACATAAAACGAAAATAGTTTCATTTGGTCCATGTTAATTAATTATATTCCCTTAGAAGTTAAAAAAAAAAAGTTTTGTAATTTTTAATCTTAATTTATAGTACCAAAAAATACAAAGACATTAGGAGCAAATTAGCTAGGTGGAAATGAGGAAGCCATTTAAGAGCAGAACATATAAATATTTTAATTTATTTTTTTATGCAGTCTCTTACCTAATAATACTAAAATTGGCCACTACCTAATGTTGCTTAGATTGCATTGTGTCTTCAGAGTTTATATCTTGTCATCATTTATAGATGGGTGAAGTTTATCTGTAAAAAGATTATTTTCAGTAGAAGAGTTGTTGTTTTTACAATATTCCCAGGAGCAGCACTTAATGAGTGTTTATGGGGTTGAGATCATTTGGCAAGAGAAAGTCAAACAGTAGGACCACAGTACCTCCAATGGTTATTGAAAAGAGAAAGAAAACCTGGTATTTTCGTTATTCTCTCTGAAAATAAGTACCTTGAGTTGCACTGATTACTGTGTGATCAGCATTCAGCTCCTGTGCCATAGCACTTTTTGTAAATAATTTTAAAGGCAGATTTAACATTCTCAAAATAAGTTCTATTGGTAGATTACGATACCAGATATTCCCTTTAGGAAAGTCTATCCTAATCACTACTATCAGCTAGCAGTCATACCCAGACCCCAGACTAGTTCTGGCTCTTATTGAGCAAGAACCTATGCCAGGGTTGAGGTTTTGTAGAGGCATCTCTCATGGTTAACTAGAGACAGAAAGAGGGAGAATTGCCCACAGGCTCTGGCTGGAGTTAAAATAACAATAACAGTCCTCCTACTTAACAGGCTGAGTCATAAGCACATTCTACTCGTTTCCCGGCAATTCCAAGCAGATTGTTTGGGCTGGAATTCTGTAGGCAGAGGTGGGCACCACCTGCTGCAAAGGCTCTAGTTCTTGTTAGGAGTGTGCTGTTATAAGTTTGGTCTTTTAACAGTTTGGCCAAATGGAGATAGAAAAAGAAAAAATGTGGTACAGATGGGCATTTTCTGAAATGCTTACAATAAAAAAATGGTGGTGCAGGTGTGATTATTAAGAGTTTAGGCATTTTACTGGCCATGAGTGTAAACCACTTAAAGAAGGAGGCTTAAACTACTGGAAGTTTCAAAAGTCAAATTTTTCTGAGATGTTGTTTTCAAAAAATTCCGTAGGCCAGTAACAGTGGCATTGCCTTAGTCAGTTTGGAGAAGGGGTTGAAACTAGTAGAAATCTACTTTTTGCTTAAGCGGAAGAGGGAAAATTATTCTGTGGTGAGTAGGGTACCTCATAATCCAAGGGCTGGGAAGGAGTTGGGCCTGATGAGGAATGAGAACCCGGAACCAGATGTGAACCAGGAATCAAGGGCACCATTCTCCCAGTCTCTCTGGGGTCCCTCAGCCTTGCTGCCCTGTACTTCATTTTGAATCAACATACCTCTGGATGCCTCTTTTATGATATAAGACTAGATTTCCCTACTGTTCTTAGCATAAGCACAGTTCTCAACTTAACCTACCCATCAGGGCCAGCCTCATACATTATCTATATATCAATTTTTATTCCCAGAAAGGGTTTTATTGGCCCAACTTGGGTTGATACCTACTCTTGAGCTCTATGTAATAAGGTATGTTGTTGTTGTTGTTAGGTGCCATCGAGTCGGTTCTGACTCATAGTGACCCTATAGGACAGAGAACTGCCCCGTAGGGTTTCCAAGGAACTGCTGGTGGATTTGAACTGCTGACCTTTTGGTTAGCAGCCAAGCTCTTAACCACTATGCCACCAGGGAAGAAGGAAGAATGATGAGTGAAAGAGGTCCTGATGCTGGACACTCTCAAAAGCTATTAAAATCTCTAGGTGCATTTTGTTTTCTCTCTCACTCTCCTCCTCAATAAATTCCCCTTCATTGATAATTGGCACATAAAGAACCAAAGAGTAGGATGTTAAGAGATTAGAAGAGCAGAGGTTGAAGCCAGCACCCATTAGAAGAATAAATGGGTGAGGATTTTTGGTTTGTTCTTGTGTAATTAATATTTCAGAGAATTGACATACTATTTTTCCTTTATTTTTCTGAGATATTCATATTTTATGATTGTCAGGTCTGATTAAGAGTATTCTTTTTCATACCCTGGTCAGTGTTCTTAAATTGAGGACATTCATAAACCCTTGAAAGTCCTCTCTCTCTCATTGCCCCTTGCGACAGAAAGTAGAATTTTACAAGGTTAAAGAGAGTAGCAAGCAAAGAAGAGAATCAGTGGAGAGCAAACTGACCATCGTAGACAAATTTGGAGATGTAACAAGCAGCTTGACAGAGTGTTTCAGGTGCAAAGTAAGCATTCGGTCTGGAGCTTGCCACATTTTTTCTGCAAAAATAAAACCGTTTATAAAATGTATTCCTCTGTCCCTCCAGTTCCTTGTTTATATGATGCAGCATGAAATAGGTGGAGTTAGCAACACTTGTGCAGGTGTGTGTATGTCTGTGTGTTCACAGGGACACCTTAAACCAACTGAGTATTTAAATAAAAATAGTTCCAAAAAAAACATATTTTTATACTAAGGATGAAATTTAGCACAAACATGACCATGAGTATGGGACACTTTAAAGCCTCAGTCCTATGTTAATTTAAACTGATTTTAATTTGGGATAAAGTATGGTGAGGAATTTCGCCAGCAGC